TATTATATTATATTATATTATATTATATTATATTATATTATATTATATTATATTATATTATATTATATTATATTATATTATATTATATTATATTATATTATATTATATTATATTATAGAGCACAGAGGAAGGACCTCCTGTGGAAAGACATAGAGGTGGTATTCTCAGAGTACCCAGTGAATCAGATAGTGACCTCCCTGGTCTCCAATACACAGTATTGTATTGTATCTATCACATATTATACTATATTATAGAGCACAGAGGAAGGACCTCCTGTGGAAGGATATAGAGATGGTTTTCTCAGAGTATCCAGTGAACCAGATAGTGACCTCCCTGGTCTCCAACACACAGGAGTCGTCACTGTCTCTGAGGGAGAGGACGGCGAGAATTGACATCAGGAGGGACGTGGAGAAACTCAAGTAGGGTTCATTAATAATGATGAAAATTCAAACATCCTCCAAATCTAGACATTTGAATATCTTGTGTACAGTGGCAGTATCTTCTATTTGTTAGTAATTTTTTCATTAGATTTTTAACTAAGGAGTAAGAGGGGAGGTATCTTTTTTAAGTTGTTGAGACTCTCTTTTTAAAAAACTCAATGTCATTTTTAATTAATTGTCTAGTGACCTCCATAAAAGTACAAAACATATTGCATTATATATATTTTACTTACTTGATATATCCACAAGAGCCTTGTTGCAGGTTTAAGTATGAAGGCAATGGCAGGCTGACAGATGTGTCCTCGGCTCCATCTTTACTACAGAGTGTCCATCAACTACTGGAGGTAAGCCTCAGTGGCCAGCACAGAATTCTGTTTATTTTTTATTTATTTATTTTTATTTCTGTGAGTATTATTTATTTAATTCTCCTTAGAAAATATGTGTTTTTAGTTTTTAATATGTATAGTCTGCAATCTCATTCACGCTATTTTAAAATGTCTGCCCATGTAGCAGAGGTTAAGAATTTTAAATATCCATATTATTATCATCTTTGAAACTGAGATGCACTTTTTACAAAAGATGTTTGTGTGAACTTCAAAAACTGGTCTTGACAATAATGTTTACAAGAAAACTGTTAGTATCAAGATACAAGAGTTTTCTACAACTAGAAGAATGTTTGCCAAATTATAAGAGAAACTTGATGATTATGTCTACAGGAGTCCCAGTTGAATCACATCAAGAAATTTGTAGAGACAGAGAAACACAAGAATCAGTGTGTGCGTATCCACCAGCAGTTAGAGCAGCTGAGAGCAGAGGTAGACCAGCAGTTTAAGTCCCAAATACAGGGTAACCCAGGGGCTCTGGACTTGGCCAGGTATCAATTTATATTTCTGAATTATTTTGGGGGATTCTGGTGCTGAGACAAATACAACAACAGAGATGTTTCCTTGATCTTTGAATTTATGAGGAAATCCTAGGTTTTATAGCAGAGGCAGTGATGACTTTGAATTTTTAGAATCCATTTTTTTTCAACCACCGAGAGTTATAGGATAGTTGGTGTTTTTAGGTCCTTGTTCGAGACAGAGCTGAGCGTGGCTGGATCAAGGGCAGCTCTTGCTTGCTTGGAGGACAGAAACACAGAGTTAAAACTCCGCGTCAGTCAGTCTGCTAAGGAGAAGGAGATTCTGCTTGCCAAATATCAGCAGATACAGGATTTTAGGAAATTGGCTGTAAGTCTGTGTTTTATTTTTATTTAACCCTGAGTTTTTTAGTATTTTATTTAACCCTGAGTTTTGAGTATTTTATCAAATAATTTTGATCTGTTGTTATGGTCATTACTCTGAATGATCGCCTCCCATAATTAATTATATTTATCTCTCTGAAAATTCTATTTTTTGTTAAGACCAACATGTCCTTAGGTTGTATTCTTCAGTTTGATGCAAGGAAATTTGTAATCTTAATAAATAAATAAATAATTGAATCTTTCAGTATCATGTGATGGATTTTAAGTTGTTTTGTGATCTATTAATATAACAGGACAGCAAGCAGGGAGTGATCAGAGTTCTGGTGAAACAGAACACTAATGCTGCCAGCAGATTGGCAGAGCAACAGATTGCGGTAGGTCTTTTATAATGATTTTATTCTCTATTCCCTTTACCTGGTTGGTAAGACTGATTCATGTCCTGAAAAACTTAAATACCAGTATATGCTGTCACCCTGATAGTGATACTTTGTTATGCTTAACCATCTATATTTTTTTCTTGAAAATTCTGGTGTAATTCACTTTGTACTTAACTTTATCCTGACTGTATTTAGGTATTTCATGTTTTTCTTCAATTTTTCTTAACAACTGGTGTAATTATCTCTGTACTGAAGTTTATACTGATTTTATTAAAGTATTTTATGTGCCTCTTGAATATTTCATGACAAATATTGTAAACAGCCAACCAGTTTTTACTTGTCTTCCTTTTCATCATAAAAAGCAAGCACTGACCAGCGAGTTAGTATACGTACAGTATATAAAATAAATATAATCTTCTCTTTCAGATCCAGCAGTATGTCCAAAGGTCACTGTCCACTCATGAAGTGGACGTGAAGACCAATGTGACCCATCTTAAGGATCATGTTATTAAGGAGGTGGACGCCTTTGCTGCCCTGGCCTTGCCATACCTTATGTATACTGTGTTAGAGAGGTGAGGAAAAATTTACTCTCCCCCCCCCCCCACCACACACACACCACACACACACACACACACACACACACACACACACACACACACACACACACACACACACGTGCACAGACTGTCATATGCAGTGAATCATCTGATTGCATATGATTTGTCTGTCTAGAAATATGAGTATCTTTTATCCAGAGATCAACCATTTTTATTTTATCTCTTTTCATCACAAAAAAGCAAGCACTAACCAGTGAGTATTATATATGTTATATCTGTTATTCATGCCATTCTTATGCATGCATACTTGTTTATGCCATGTTTATGTGTATATGCATGTCCCTGCAGTGCCCAGAAGTTGGCAGTGATTGACCTGTCCATCAACAGACTCACCGGTCCTGGCGCTGGCCACAACCAACAGCTACAGCAGGTGCTCAACGCTCTGGAGTTTCCTGTCTTCAAGGTAGGAGAATTCAGTTAGTATTATTATATAATAATAGACTGTTGGGGTACTATTATTGAGCAGCTTTAATAGGCATCTTTAATAAAATTATGTAGAAGGCAGAACTTGACATTTACATATATATGGAATATGTTAACCTTTGCTTTAGGCCTTGGTGCTATTTTGTGACCTTGACCCACTTAAACTATTGTTATATATCTGCCTAGGCTCCTGAGTGTCTCCTGCGGAAGGCCATGGAGGTGAAGATGGAGATAGATGACATGAACGCCCAGCTTGAGAGCCATGAAGTGCTAGGCAGACTGCTGAGGGGGGCAGAGAGAGACCAGGCCCTCACTGTGGATCACATAGCAGGTGTGTTCATTGTGGTAGAGGTGACACTGCAGATTGTGTTGGGTGTGACACTGTGTATCACATAGCAGGTGTGTTCATTGTGGTAGAGGTGACACTACAGATTGTGTTGGGTGTGACACTGTGTATCACATAGCAGGTGTGTTCATTGTGGTAGAGGTGACACTGCAGATTGCATTGGATGAGACACATGAAATGGATGCCATACTACAAATTTTGTTGGGTGTGAGACACTGCAAATTGTGTTTGGTGTGACATTCAAAATCTCGTTAGTTGTTACCAGTATGAACTGTATCTAGTATGTCTTTAAGTGTGTTTCTTAATAATGAATGAAGTATATTTTCCAGGATTATGCCAGGAAGTAGAAGAGAATGACAGGAAGCAACTGGATGCTTTATTACCAGTTCTGCAGAAAAGGATTTCCAGAGCAAGTCAGGCTTTAGCCGAGTGTCTTGAAGTGAAGGACTGTGTGCAAGCTTGGTGAGTCACGTGGTGGACTGAGCAGTGCAGTTGGTGATGGACAATAT